CCCGCCCCTCAGGGACCCCCGTGGGTGACGGGGACCCCCCCCAGGCTGACGTGCCCTGCCCAGGCAGCTCAGCCTGGGGGTCTCTCGTTGGGGGGCTCCCCTGGGAGCGGCCCCGCTGAACCCTCCCGGCCCGGCTGGTTCCTGGGGACACGACCCCCCCGAGGTGCAGTCAGAAGGTCTCTCAGCCTCCGTTTCTCCAGGCTGAGCACCCCCCAGTTCTCTCACCCGAGCCCCACAGCTTCTCCAGAGCCTCCTCCTTGTCCTCCAGATCCTGCCCCAGCTCCAGGCCCTTCTTGTCATGAAATGCCTGAACCTGAACCCAGGGTTTGAGGAGCAGCTTCACCCCCGCCGAGCAGAGGGGGATGATCCTTTCCCTGCTCCTGCTGGCCACGCTGCTGCAGGTAGAAGCCAGGCTGCTGCTGGCCTCCTTGGCCACCCCCCTGCACACTGAGCAACCAGGGACACCCCAGGAGGCTGCAGTGGTCGTACCACAGCCACCCACACATCGACAGAGCCCCCAGGGTGGCACGTTGGAAGGTCCCACTCCACCAGAAAACCTGTGCCCAAGCTGATGGGCCAGCCCAGGGCCAAACAGCCACCCCACACCCACGCAGGGGCCACGCTGATGAGTGTGTCCCTCTCAGCTGAGTGTGGAAGAAGGAGGAGGAGGAGGAGACAAATTTGACCTGCAGCCCCAGGACCACCACCAGCAGAGCTGCAGCCACCCGTGCCCTCCCTTGGTGTCAGCTGCGTGGGACCAGGGCACGGGGCCACCCTGTCACCCTCATGGGCACACAGAGCTGCTTTGTCCTAGGGACATGGCTGATCCAGCAGCCAGGCACAAAGAAAAGGGTCTGTAGGAAAGCAGCAGCGTCAGGACAGGGGAGGGCAGAGCTGTGTGAGCACCCACGGGAAGCCACACAAGGAGGAAAAAGATGCTAATCTGCCTAACGAACTTCAGCAGCAGCAGCACAAATGAAGCTGGGTTTGCTACTGGTGCCCATTTCCAAAAGGGACCTGCGGGGCCCTGCACCCCCTGCAAGAAAGACCCCAAAGTCACAGGTGAACAGGACTGTATTTAACCAGAATCGTTGGGTGTTTCTGTGTGTGTGCAGGGAGGTCTGACAGCCCCTTTGGCTTTTGTTCTCAGTTTTTCAGGGAGCAAATTGGCTGGAGGAGACAGGCCAGGGCAGTGTCACTGCTAAGAGCTGTGACATCCACTGGCTCTCACTGGGATGCTTTGCTGTTGGCTTCTGTGGGCCTTGGACCAGGCCCTGAGCCAGGACTACTGAAATCCAAAGGCAAAGACCTAAACGAAGCCCAGAGCACCATGACCTTCATATACAAGCACTTAATTAATCTCAGAGGCCCTCTCAGAGTGCCAGCCCTGCCACCCAGTGGGGAGTTCATTATCTGTGGCCAGTTCACCAGCACCCATGTCTCTCTCAGCTGACAGACCAACCCCAAATCCACTGGTGGAGCCTCTTCCCATGGGTAGTGCCCTGTTCCTTTTAGTGAGCTCTTTCTGCATCAGAAAGCAACACCCAGCACTGCTGAGGAGGGAGGTCTGGGGGTGGGGAAGGAGGTCTGAGGGCCAGGGGCTCCAAAAGCTTTATTGCTTGTTGGCTTCTGCTAACATCTACGTGACTCCAGTGACTAACAACCACCTTCAGGGAATGCACGTGTTAGTTAGGGCCACCCTGGCTTCCCTGTGGGGGCAGAAGAAGGCACCTCTCAGTCTGCCAGGGCTTCCCTGGCAGCTGCTCTTGAGAGGCCATGGACCCAGGGTGCAGCAGGAGACGCAGAAGGGTTGCTGGTAGAAACCAGAGGGGACCTGCAGTCCTGGGTAACATCATCCAGACCCTTTGGTGGCTTTTTAGGTTTGTGTTGGTTTTTTTTTAGGGAGGAGCTGGGCCTCCTTTTTTTTTAGTCTGGGGAGCTGGGCCCATGTCCCTCAGAGGAGATCACCCTGCTGCCTTCTCCCCAGTGTTGGGCTGTCCAAGTCTCTGGGCACGTCATGGCTGCTGCTCTTCCCTGAAGGAAACAGGAGCATCTCTGCCTTGTGTGTAGTCACCTATGGGCTCCGTGCTGGTCTCCACTTGTCTCCATCCAGAGGTGGCCACAGCAGCCGTGTCTGCTCCGTGCTGGGCTCTGCCATCCTGAGGAGCTACTTGGTGGGCTCTGTGGCCATGGTGTCCACACCTGGAGAGGCTGGCACCCTGCTGTTCCCACCGTTGCTCACGCTGTCCTTGCTGTTGTCCCTCACGGGGTCACTGCTTTTATCCTCCACTTTCTGCTTGAGTTTGAGGGAGGAATCTCTCCGGGAGAGGAGGGGTTGGTAGCCAGTGAAGCCTCCGCTCACGTTCGTGCGCTTCTCTGGGGACAGACAGAGGAAGAGGATTGTTTCACAGGATGGTGAAGGGTAGAAGGGACCTTCATCAGTCTCCAACCTCCCTGCTGTGAGCAGGGACACCTTCCCCCAGACCAGGCTGCACAAGCCTCATCCAACCTGTCCTTGAACACCTCCAGGGATGGGGCAGCCACAGCTTCCCTGGGCAACCTGCTCCAGCCCCTTACCACCCTCATGGTGAAGAATTTCTTCCTGATGTCTGACCTAAATCTCCCCTCTTTCAGTTTAAAATCATGACCCCTTTTCCCATCACTGCTCTCTCTGGTGAAAAGCCCTTCCCCAGCTTTCCTGGAGCTCCTTCAGGTACCCCAGTCCCTGGGGTCCCAATGGACCTGTCAGCCAAGGAAAAGGGGTGCTGGTGTCTCCTGGCCAGAGGTGTCGAGGCACCTTCTCTGAAAGATGCGGGTTCTTCCAGCCTCGGATGCCCCCAAGGAGGGGAAGATGGTGGGAGCCTGGGCTGGTGCCCCGGCGTGGCTGTGCTCAGGATGGGCAGGGGGGGTGTGAGGGGTGGTCTCCTACCTCCGGGCCCGATGGGGTGCATCAGCCGGTTCATCTGGACGTTCCAGTGCTTGACGTTGGTGCTGGCCTGACGCAGCTTCCGCTGGGCAGCCTGGGAGGGCACCAGGACAGGCCTGAGCTGCTGCCCTGGGGCCACAGGCAGGACTTCCCCTTCCCTGAGTAAGCCTGTACTGGAGGCTCCCTCTGGGATGGAGACCCAGCTCACCCTCCTCTAGGTCTTCTGCTCCACCTCCCATCCTCCCCCCTCCACACACTGGACACCAGTGCAGTGCCCCTGGGGCAGGACACGCTTCTCCCAGCTCAGCCACCAAATCACCCCACAGCACAGCTCAGAAACCCCTGAGGCAACACCAGCTCGGTCCCCAAAGCTGCTGGGTGCTCCCCAGTGTGGAAGTGACTCAGGGCAGGCTGGGAAGTCCCCTGGGGCTCAGGGGTGAAGGGATGTGGCCCCAGGGTGATGCTCACCATGACGTCTTGGTCCACCCGCTGCCTGTTCACCCTCACTTCTTCCAGCTGCTTCTGCGCCTCTTCCAGACACTTGTTCTTGTTCTCCATCTCCTGCTTCAGGACTTGCTTCTCCCGCTGGGTTTTGATGATATATTCCTCTTGCTCCTCCTTCAGCTTCATCAGTTGCTTCAGCTTCTCCTCTTCCTCAGCCAGTAGCCTGTTCAAGGACGAGGTGAGGACATCCCCCTGACGCCTCATCCACCAGTTTCCCTTCTCTTCCCTGCTGGTGTCCTGGGAACCACCAGCACACCCTGCTGCCCTGGGGAAGATTGCCCTGGGAGTGGGCCTGGTGGAGCAGGACCAGGGATGTCCTACCTGGCCTGTGCGTATCTCACGGACTCCTCATCCTGCCGTGCCTTCACCTCCTGCTGCAGGGCCTCCTGGAGACGCTCCTGCATGTCCTCCAGCTCCAGGATGCGCTTGCGCTGCCGCTCTGCCTCTGCCTCCTTCAGCACCATCTCTGCCTGCATGGAGGCACGAGCCTGCAGCGAGGAGAGGAGCCATCAGCACAAGCCACCACCATCGTCCCAGGGCCCCTGTGCCCCCACGTCCCTGGGTGGATGGGACCAGACATCTCCCACGCTGGGCAGAGCCCATGGAGAGAGCTCCAGAGCAAGGCTGTGTCCCTGCTCAGGAGACACACGGTGTCCTTTGGAGCTGCAAGGTCAGAAATAGGCTCCCTTCCCACCTTGGCACTCATCTCTCATCTGCCCCATCAGCTTCATACACTCCAGGGCAGGTTCTCCTCATCTCCTGCTCCTCAGGTATCTCCCACACAGCGGTGCTGATGCCTCTGTCCCCAGGTCACACACAGCCCTCGGAGCCCAGAGGTGGCAGCAGTGTTGTTGCAAGAGCAGGACGTGCTCCTAAAAGCCCCACCAACCCCCCTGGGCTGCTACTGGGCAAGGGAAGGAGAAGGTGGAACCCACCCCAAGAGCGACACAGCCCCGTGGCAGGACAAACCATGAGGATGCACCCACCTGCTCGGCCTCCCGCAGCTGGATCTCCAGGGTCCTTTGCATCTCCTCGTGCTGCTGCCTCCGCCGCTGCTCCTCCTCCTGCAGGAGTATCTCTGCCTGTCGCTGGGCCTCCTTCAGCAGCTCCAGCTCCTGCAGCTTCCTCTCCTTCTCCTCCTGGAGCTGCTTGAGCCGCTGTGTTTCCTCCTCCTTGGCCGCCTTCCGCTGCTCCCGCTGCTCCCGCTGCTCCCGTCGCTTCTGCTTCAGGTCTTTGTGCAGGGACTTCTTGCCCTCGGCCTGCAGCCGGATGGCTGTCTGGATGGCTGGGGAGGGAAGGGGAGGGTCAGTGGGGACACGGGGGAGCTGGGGAGGGGGCAGAGGGTGGGCACAGACCCAGCGTCCACTCCTGGCGCTGCCGGGTGTCGGAGGCGCTCATCTCGTAGGTGCGGGACAAGGTCTTCACACAGAACATGCACCTCTTCCCATCCCGGTCAGGGAGCACCTGCAGGGACAGGACACAGGATGGTGTTACCCACCCCCCATGTCCTACCTTATCTCCACCTTCTTCAGCCATAGGACTGGCTCTCCCGTGGTGAAATGGTGTGTGCTTCAGCTCCCGGGATCTTCTGGGTCTCCTGTCCCCAGGCTGAGCTCAGCCCAGGTCGTACCTCCACACAGCAGTGCTTGTCCAACGTGATGCTCCCCTTCTTCTCCTTCCTCTCCTCACTCATGTAGTAGGACAGGACACTGGGCTTCAGTGTGAACCACCGCTCCGACCAGTTCCTCCTCAGCTGGCCCTTCTTCCAGAGGTAGCCCTGCACCCCGGAGACACGGGGATCAGCAACGGGGTGGGGGGCAGCATGGGCTTCGTGCCCCAGGATGCAGAATCACAGATCATCAAGCCCTACAAGCCCTACCCCACTCCTTGCCTGTTTGAGCACGTCCTCGATGACCTCCTGGTACACCTCCTCCACGGCCATGCTGACGGCCTCCTGGTCGATGCCGCGCAGGAACCGCCCCGAGTTCACCATGTCCAGGAACTGCCAGACTGTCACCCCCCCCTGCCCCTGCGGCTCCTGGGACAGGTAGTCCTCCAGCTCACAGGAGTTCAGCTCCACGTTCATGGCTGTGCAGATCTTCTTCAGCAGGTACTCCACCTGTGGGGACACGGGGCAGGGAGAGGTGAGAGCCATCCCCACCCCACCGACCCAACTGGGAGAGCACAAGACCCACATCTTCCAGCCTGGAGATGCAGAACCCTTAGGTAACCCAGAGGATAACCCCTTGGGATGGTTGTTGAGCTGCTCCACCTCAGCAGGTTGTCACTGGGTTAGAGCTTCACTTAGGGACCTCTTCCTTTTTAACCACATGACTCTCTGGGACCAGCTCCCTATGGAGGAGACGAGGGCCATTCTGAAACTGCCAAAAAATCACTTTGAGAAAGGACTCAGAAGGTTGCAACGATGTTGGGATGGTTGCCATGATGTTGGGGTGGTTGCCTTCATGTTGGGATGGTTGCCTTCATGTTGGGAACACTTCTTTGTGCTGCCAGCTCTCCCCTGCCCACAACCTAGGGACCAAGGAGCACGGATGACAACAGAGAGCCACACAGAGAGGTGACACACAGTCTCTACACCCAGCCAGATGGTATTTTTACTTGACATCTCGTCAGGAGAATGTCATGCCCTTTATTTTCTTCTTCTTTTTTTTTTTTTTTCTCCAAGCTCAGCCCCGTGAGCAGAAAGATGATTCAGTTTGTCATGGTCTGGGGCACAGGAAGCTCCTCTCCCGGGGAGCAGGAAGTGTGGTCGCCCTCCTACGTCTGCTCAGCCCTGCATCTCTTGCCTGTTTTGGGGTTTTTTTTCTTTGCCCCTTTTGGGTTGTTTTTTGTGTTTTTTTTTTGGTTTCTTTTGACTTTTCTGCTGATCTCAGGAGGTTGATGGTGGAGAAGCAGACTGGCCAGCTGGGCTCCTCCTGGTGAGGCCGCTCTTGGCTTCTGAGCTTGTCCCTCCTCTCTGCCTTCTTTGTAGGGATTTGATTTGAACCTCCTCCCTCCCCCCAGAGTCAAATTCCAGGTGGAATTTGGAGGGAGAGGTTCTTCCTTCTCTGAGGGTGGAATTTGGAGATTACTGGTGGCAGCTTTGCAGGGCAGCTGGGGCAACCTCACTCTTAACTCTCCAGATGCTGGGCAGAAGGTGAGCAGCTGGTGGCACGGAGAGGGACAACCAGATCTGCTCTGCCACTGCCTTTGTGGTGGCATGGGCTGAGAGCAGCACGAGGGACACAGCTCCATCCAGCCTGACAGTGATTTCATGGGGAGGAACCTCCCATTGTTCTGGAGTTGTAAGGATTTCTCATCATCTTCTTTTTCTCCTCCATGAAAGTCAGGAGGAGCCCTCCAACACTGTGCTCAACTCAACCCTTGGGTGAGATGGAAGGGCTTTAGGCAAGGGACCAGCTCCAGGAGAAGCTGAGCTGTGGAAGCTGGGGCTGGGGCTCTGAGAACTGGCACATTCATTTCACAGCAGGCAAAAGAGTTTGTTGGTGTGAGCCTGGACCATGGAGGAACACTATGGACCAGCCCACACCTCATCCTCCAAGACATCTATACTTGAGATACTTCAGCCTTTTGGAGGGGTCCTCCCAGCTGCTCCCAGGTCACCCCTCTCCCTGGGCAGCACAAATGGCTGTGGACATTGTGGGGGGGTGCCCAGGGCAGACAGCCCCCTCCTCCCACGCAGGCCTGCTCTCTCCCACACCCTGGAGCACCACATCTCAGGATGTGGTGGGACATGCCAGGAAGAGATAGTGGGATGTGTCACCCCAAACAGGGCTCCACCAGCTTGCAGAGCCCTGGGAGGATGAAGGTTTTGGGCAGGAGGAGCAGGTCCTACCTCATCTGGCACCATGATGAGAGGGTATTTGTCTTCAGACAGAAAGTTGAAGAGACACCAGAGCTTGAAGGCATCCTGGTGGGACACAACACTATTCCCATTCCGGTCAGGCTTGTAATTCTTCTTGGCTGTCAGGGTCCAGCAGAGCTCATCAAAGTTTTCTTTGACAAAAGCACCTTCCTCCACCTGTGGGCAGGAGCCAGGGGGTGAGTGTGGGGCTACGGGGGGTTCTGGGGAGGAAGGTCTGGATGGGGGGTGGGCAGAAACCCTCACGCCTGAAACCTGTCCCTGCTGGTGAGAAGCATGGAGGGGATTGATGGTGGGACCACAACGAGAGTGCAGGTGGGCTCTGACCCGCGATGCCAGCATGTGTCCCCACCACAGGTCCCCTTATGCAGGCAAGTGACACATGTCAGAGAGTAGAGAAGATGCTAGGGAACCTCTGCAGCACCCGAGCACTGTGGTGGCTCTGCTATGTCCTGCCAGGCTTTGGAGCACCACCAGGAACCCTGTGGTGAAGCACACCCAGCACCCTGGGGTGCTCTGCCCAGCCCACCTCCCCATCCCCTCCAAGCCTTTGGCTCACTCTCCTTGTCCCATCTGGCCACAAAGAGGAACCAGGGCTCAGCAAAGGGAAGTGCTGGCCTGCAGGCAGCAGTGCAGGCAGGAGTGATGCCTCCACTGATCTCGGCCTGTCCACGACCTCTAGCATCATGAGATGCTTCACACAGCAGTTCTGGTGTGGCACCAGTGAGCTGTGACAGAGACCAGAGACCAAAGCAGCCTGGCAACATCTGTCCTCTCCATCCAGGCTGCCTGAGTCCCACCCCACGGGCACGAGGCAAAACCACAGCCTGGACTAGCAGAACCAGAGAAGAACCTCTGGGTGGCAGAAAGCTGGAAGTCCCTCTTACTAGGAAAGCCCACTTCTCGTTCTCAGGCTGCCTCTGGGATTTTATTAGCCACGGTGAAACTACAAGGGGCTTTAAAGGCCACCTCTCCAGTAACCACATGGGAAAACTGGCAGGATTTTGGCTGCTCTGCCGTGGGGACGTTGAGCTGGGTTGACCTTGGGCAGCTCTGTCCTCTCCTTGCAGCCCTAGACCAGGCTGGGCAGCTCCTGAGCAGCTCAGGACGTGGCAAAGACCTTCCTGAAGACCTGCCTGGAGCACCACACGGCAGGGAGAGGCAGGGCTGAGCAGGGGAGGGAAGGGAGCAGCTCCTGCCCCCCCCCTCCAGGCCCCCCCCGCTTTTGAGCACACAGTGGAAGAAAATTGTCAGTCATTTTTCCTCCCCTCTCAGGCCTGGAGGAAACCAGCACCCAGCCACAAGGTCTCCTGTGCCAAACAAAGGTGCCTTTGAGCTGTGCAGAAAAAAAAAGGGAACAAGCCCCTGCCCACTCCAGCCTCGGCTCCTGCCCTGGCACCTCGTTTTCCTTCTCCTCTTCTTTCCCAAATGAGGTCACACCTCACATTTCAACAGGAGTGGAGAAGGAAAAGGGGCTGGGACAGGCAGCTGGGTGGTTTCTGAGCCCTTTAGGAGGCACCTAAAGGTGTTGGGGCTCCATCCAGAGCCTCCATGGAAAGGGCTGACTTTAGAGACGTTGGGGATTGAACGTTTCTCACTCATTTTGGCATTTACCTGAGAGCTCCCCAGCTCTCTCTATCCTTTTGGGTTTTTTGGGGAGGGACTTTTTACTAGGGTGTGTAGTGACAGGATGAGGGGTAACAGTTTTAAGCTGGAAGAGGGGAGGTTTAGGTGAAATTCTTTAGATTGAGGGTCATGAGAGCCTGGCCCAGGTTGCCCAGGGAAGCTGTGGCTGCCCCATCCCTGGCAGTGTTGAAGGGCAGGTTGGATGGGGCTTGGAGCAACCTGGGCTGGTGGGAGGTGTCCCTGCTCATGCAGGGGGTGGGACTGGATGATCTTTAAGATCCCTTCCAACCCAAACCATTCCAAAATTCTATGATATTTTTTTCCCCCACCCACAGCACCTCCAAGACCAGAGGGTGGTGGAACAACAGGGCTCCCACAGGAGTCAACCAGGGACTGTGGTGTCCCCAGTTGAGATACAGCAAGTGGGTGCTGGGGATGCCTGAGGGACTGACCTTATCCAGGATGTACTTGTTGAGGTAGGGCATGTAGCCCTGGCTGGACACGGGCCCATCGTCGTCGTCACGGAAATGCTCCTCCAGCGCCACCGGGTCGTGGGGGATGCACAGCACTGTGTACAGGTTGTGGGACAGCACCTGCCCGAGCAGGAGGGACAGTCAGGAGGTGAACAACCCCCAACCCTGCCCCATTCCATCCCCAACCCACCCAGGGACCATGCCTGGCCCAGCACCACCCCCCTGCAGCCCCAGCAGTGAGGAACCCTTTGGGCTTGGCAGAGGGAGAGGGGAACGTTCCCACAAACCAACCTGAGGGAATCACATCAAACCAGGCAAAACCAGAGGATTTTCCCCACATTTGTTTATTTCTCAGCCCATGGAAAATGTTTAATATATTATTTTTAAATGAAGGGGCTGTTTCTACTATTAGAGAGCAAACAGGACATGGAACTTTCATCTAGACAAGATGATAAGTCACCCCAAGCCATGTGCTGGGCAGCTGCCCTGGGTGATTTCTTGCAAACACAACCAACCACAACTCTCACCAGAGGAGCACAGAACTGCCACAGAGATGAAAATGAGAAAATACTGATAAAAAGCTAAGGAGAGGTTTTGTCTGGAAGCAGATGAGGGGGACCTGGAGACGCACCATCTCCAGAAGCAGTCTGCAGATGTCACCAACCAGCCCGTTTATGTTCAAATCCACCCCAAAGAAAGCATGGTTTGAAGCTCCCAAATTTCCCACATGCTGGAAAGCCCCACGTTGCTGCTGGAGCCCAGAGCAAGGCTGCCCATGGCCATCCCCAGTATCTCCAGCTCCTGGGCAGGCTGATGTCTCCTTGTCTTTACCTCCCAGCAGGCAGGCAATGGCTAAAGGACTGTCCCAAACTGATGTCTTCCCACTGCACCAGGGTTTTGGATGGGGCTTGGAGCAACCTGGGCTGGTGGGAGGTGTCCCTGCCCATGCAGGGGAGGTGGATCTAGATGATCTTGAAGATCCCTTCCAACCCAAACCATGCCATGATTCTGTGATTTGCAGCTTGCCAAGGGTCCCAGGGAGGGGCTGGGGGAGATGGGGAGCAGCATCCCTGCTCCTCTGTGCAGGGCTGGAAATTTCCTCCCAGCAGGAGCGGAGCCACCCGAGGCCACAGCAGCTGCTGCAGCTGCAGATGGTTCTTGCTCAACCAGATTTTCTTTCTCATTTTCACCCTCTGGCCCGATGTGATCACCTGTGCTCCACCCTGTGCTCCAACACCCCGAGGCATTAGCCCTGAGTGCTGCTGCTGTGGCTGCACCCCAGGGGTGGGGTGGGGTGGCAACACTCTGGGCATCCTCTGGGATGATTAACCAACCTACCAGGATAGAGTGAAAGTTTAGGAATTGCTTCCCATTTCCCACTTCCTCATCCCCATCCCTCATGCTTCCTCTTGCAGCATCTCAGAAAGGCCTGGGGTTGTCTCCCTGGCCAAGGGCAGCACCTTGACCCCTCCATCCATCCCAGCACACTGCAAACCACAGCCCCTAAACCACAGTGGTCACCTGGAAAACACTAAAATGGGAGGAAAGCCCTGGGCAGGCTGATGTGGAGTGTGTGGGGCCAGGGCTGCCCCAACCCCATGGAGGGAGAAAGAGTGGGAAACACCCCCCCCCCCTTTCCAGGCTCTGAAATGAGGGAGAAGAGAGGAAAATAACTGGGGGAAAAAGGAAGGGATATTCTGAGCCTTTGAGAGCAGTTTGGTAATGCAGCCTTTCCCCCAGGAGTTGGCCGGGGGCTAAGAGAAGTCTGCCTGACACACCTGAGCACCCAAAATCCCTCTGAGCACCCCAAATCCCTCTGAGCACCCCAAATCCCTCTGAGCACCAGCCCCGAGGCTGTTTCTCCACCCTCTTTCCTGCTTCCCCCATGACTCCCCACTCCCACCCCTCTGTAGCTGCTGCTGCTGCCAGCCAGAGCTGGGGGTGGAATATTTAACACTCCTGGAGACTGGCAGCCCCTCTTCTCCCCTGTGGGAGACACTGGGACAGATGCCAGGGCTGGGGGGGACCTCTCAGGCTGAAAAGCACCAGGATGGCTCCGACCTGCCTGCCCCAGCTGGGCACAACCACCTCGGGGGGCTCAGCTCTGCCCATGGGAGCCACATCCCACATCCCAGTCAGCTCCTGTGGATGTGGGAATTCACTCAGCTGGGGAGGATACGATGGTACTGAGAAGATAAAAGCTCATCCAAGAGCAGGGCTGGGAACAGAACTAACCCAACAGTCCTCACCACACAGCACCCAACCACAAGCCTCTTTCCTTCCTGTGCAGATCCACACCTACCCTCACGTAGACGTGGCACATGTTTGCATAGGAGGGTCCACAAAAAAGGCCTCAACTCCTGAGCCCAATGGCTTCACCATCAAACCTGGAAACACTGCTCAAGTCCCAGTGCAGCTGGAGAGGTGCTGGGGCTCATCCCCCAGGAAAACCCTCCTCCCCCAGCTCCTGGGGCTGGTTTTGTATCTGTAGGTGCAAGTGCTGGTGAGCACTGGCATTTTCCCCCCACTTTGTTCAAGATCCTTCTTGCAGGAACATGCCTGGCTGCGGGAGCAGAGCACAACCCTGGGGGAGTCTGGAGAGGGAACGGCCACTGGGGCTTTAACACCTCACTGCTCTAACCTGGATCTCTTCTGCACTGAACCCACGAGCAGAAAGGCTGCTTGTGTAGACCGGGGAAAACCCGAGCTGGTGCTTGGCACCAGTGGGTGATGGAAACCTGCTCTGCCTGGCCCTGGGGCAGGGGAAGAAGATCCAGGGCTGAGCTGCATCGTGGAACGGGGCAGCCCGACCTGCTGCTGTCCTGGCTCAGCACAGAAGGCAGGTGGAGAAACAGTGAGGGGTGAATCTTCCTTTCCCTCTGAAATGTCACCATGGAAATGCCATCTCTAGACTTGTAGAACGGGGAAGGTTGGAAGGGACCTTAAAGATCATCAGGTTCCAACCCCCCTGCATGGGCAGGGACACCTCCCACCAGCCCAGGCTGCTCCAAGCCCCATCCAACCTGCCCTTCAACACTGCCAGGGATGAGGCAGCCACAGCTTCCCTGGGGAACCTGTTCCAGTGCCTTCCTATCCTCATGGTGAAGAATTTCTTCCTGATGTCTCACCTAGATCTCCCCTCTTCCAGTTTAAAACCATTACCCCTTGTCCTATCATTGCTCTCTCTGGTGAAAAGTCTCTCCCTCTCTCCCCATCTTTCCCATGGGCCAACCCCGCAGCCCCTGCACGAGGGGCTTTTTGGAGCTCCTTGTACCCTCCCTGCACAAGCTCTAGAGGAAACTGCCGTTGAAGTGAGGGTCTCTGTGGCCTCAGCATCGTGGCTGGTGATAAAGATCTCCCAAGACAAACACTGCACGTGTTCACGCCAGCGTTTCGGGTCTGGCAACGCGCCCGGGCACGGCTCAGCCCCCAGGGTGCAGGGGATGCTCTGAGGGGAGCACAGCAACCCCTGGGCATTAGCAAAGGGGATTAGGCCCTGGCCTACTTCGGGATTTTCCTTAATTCCTTCAGATATTTCAACAGTTTTAAGTAGGCTCACGGGGCAACAAGTTTCTGGGGAGCAGCCGAAGGCTCTTGGCTGCAGGGCCAGCGAGTGGCTCCAGAGCCCTACAAACTAAATCCTTCATTTTGGGGCAAAACAACCCATCCCACACTCAGCCCAGCACCTTCCCTGCAGTCTATCCCAGGGGGGAGAAAGCTCCATGAAGCAGAGGGAATAAGAGAGGTGGGTTTTTCTGCAGCGTTTCACAACTCCTGTGGCCGCCCTGACGCAACATCTCCCCAAGTTTTGCAGGTTTCCAGCTCAGGTCTTTTCCCCTGCATCACAACCCCCTGCTCCAACAGGCACCTCCAACCCCTGCACCAGCCAGAAAACCACAACGGGACGTTTTTGCACCACAACAACAACAACAAAAAAAAGGGAGTCCCAGCATTTGCAAAGGGGAAAAAAGAATTAAAAATATATCAGTAATTGTCAAAGCCAAGGGGTGTTCGACCATCCCAGGGGCAGACAAAGAAGGTTTTTAAAGCCACGATGGTTTTGGTGAAGAGCTGAAAGCAGGAACAGGCTGCAAAGCTGCTGAAGGGGTGTGGGAGAGGGTAAATATGTGTAATTTCTGGCCAGACCACCAAGGAGTTGCAGTTTAAAAACGGTCTGTCTGTACCTACCGACCCACAGGCTGAACAGGAAGCAGAACTAAGGGTGCTCTGGCTGGCAAGAAAACACAAACCCGGTTTGGGCTGCTAGTTGGCCATAAAACGCTTGATAAAGTGAAAAGAATTGGGGAAAAACCCAGATTTCTCCTCATTTTCACCTAGAAAATACATCGGAGCACGAACTCCCCCCACCTTTTCCTGAAAGGGAGACAAGGCAGAGGCAGAAACTTCACTAGAACCAGTGCTGAGGTGCTAACAAGGTCCTGGGAATCTTAATATTCCTCCGTAGAAAGAGGC